CAGTGTACACTGGACTGGGACTATGTGCTTGCCAAACTACTGCCTAATTCTGCTCCAGGGAGGCCTGTAAACACAATTTGATGGACCCTCAGCAAATGACAGGCAGGCTTGATACTGAAGACTCTGAGGTGGCACACACAGCTTGCAATAAAAATGGTTCTTTAAGTGGGAAAGCACAGGGAGAGATGCGTCTGCTCTGACTTTCTCACAGAATATTACAGCTGTGATATTTTGGCAGGTTCCATTGATCCAAGACTACTCCATTTACACAGATAACAGAAATATAGTTACAGTATATTGAATTAGGTTGTTTAAAGTGCACGTTTGTGGGGAAAGAAATCCTTCTAGCCAACTGTTGCACAAAGACAAACGGATGCTAACTGCTTTCATTTTCTGGACAAGTTTCTTCATCTTTCAGTTTGCTCTTGAGGTCCATGTGGACTTCTCCTCTCTTCTGTTAGTATATTAATAACAACCATGTGCTGTCAAGTCAATTATGACTTCCAGTGACCCTTCTCAGGGTTTTCTAAGTACAGTGGTGCCCCACATAGCAACAATAATCCATTCCAAAAAAATCATCGCTATACGGATTCGTCGCTATGCGGAACAAAAAAGCCCACAGGAATGCATTAAAATACGTTTAATGTGTTCCTATGGGCAAAAAACTCACCATTATGCGGAAATCCTCCATACGGCTGCCATTTTCACTGCCCGGTAAGCGAGGAAAGGGCACGAAAACACTGCGGGCGGCCATTTTTCCCTGGCGGCCATTTTGCACCGCCGATCAGCTGTTAGAAAAAACATCGCTATGCGAAAATCAGTAAGCGAAACAGCTTACCGATCATCGCAAAGCAATGTTTTCCTATTTAAAACATTGTTATGTGATCGCTTTTGCAATTGCAAAAAACATCGCTATGCGTATTTGTTGTTAAATGAATCACTCGTTAAGCGAGGCATCACTGTAGAGAATACGCAGAAGTGGTTTACCATTCCCCTCTTCTGGGGGCATCTTGGGATTGTGCACCTTGTTCAAGGCCACACAGGCAAGCTGTACTCACAGAAGGCACAGTGAGGAATCAAACGCCCAACCTCTGGCTTTGCAGTCAGATATCAAAGCTACTAAGCTATCCAACAAATATTCCAAATGTTTGTGCAGACTGGGCAGGGGCATATCACCAGCTGCTTTCAATTATTTTCAAAAGGATTTCCAAATTAAATAGGAGAGACAACTAAACTTTATGACTATACTGTATAACATCAAAGGCCCTGAATAGGAATATACACTTAAATATGACACAGTGGCTGAAACAGTGATAGAAATGTCCACAGAATACTCTGTGATTCAAGGGACCCCCTTGCAATGTTTGTAACTGTAGGAAATGAAGGAGGAATATCACATGCTTCTTGCTGCATTTTCTCCCTGTTGTGGGTGTTACGGTGAATATATAGGAAGAAAGGGGGGGGTTGTCCCACAGCCCCACAGCTTGTAACATCCAGATATTCTTTTAAAGTGAAATAACTATTCTTGTAATCTTTGAGAAACGAAAATTCAAAAAGTCAAAAGTTTACTATATCAGGAACTCCTTTTTACAGGTAACTTTCCAAGCTCTGGTGCACTCCCATTTCTATACCTCTCCATTCAAGTGTTGAAACAAAGAAAGAGCCTCCTTTTTTGTTAGCAATTTGTAGTTTGCTGTTACATCAAACGTAATGAACTATGATCTACTGAAATCACAGTTTGCTTATATATATAAGAGTACTGCTTATATACCCATAGCACTTAAAGCACTCTCTGGGTGGTTTGCAATTTATTTATGCAAGCTATGCACTGCCCCCATCCCCACCCCGCAGGCTGGGCACTCAATTTGCTGACCTTGGAAGGATGGAAGGCTGAGTGAATCTTCAGCCGGCTACCTGGGATTGAACCCAGGTTTTGACTGCAGTACAAATGCTATACTAAAAAACATATACAACACCGAAAGACATTCAAAGCAGGAAGACACAACAATCCATTACAAACTTCACTTAGGCATCCAGTCATTTGAGGAAAGCTTTCCTGAACAAAAGGGTCTTCAACAGCTTGTTGAAGGACAGTAAAGATGGAGCCAGCCTAGCCTCCTGACTCTTAATTCCAAAGGCAGACAGTTTGGATATGGCTGTTGATTTACAGTCACCACATTAACCTTAATATTCATAAGGACATAAGAGCCCTGCTGGAGCAGGCCACGGGCCCATCTAGTCCAGCTTCTTGTATCTCATAGTGGCCCCACCAGATGGCTCTGGGAGCACACGAGATACCTGTCTCCTGATACCTCTCCCCTGCACCTGGCATTTTGAAGTACCTTTCTTTGAAGCCTGGATATTGTACATCCCCATCATGGCTTGTAACCTGCGATGGACTTTTCCTCCAGAAAGCTGTACAATCCCCTTCCAGGCCAGATGCCATCACCACATCCTGTGGCAAGAGTTCCACAGACTAACAACATGCTGAGTAACGAAATACTTTATTTTGTCTGTTCTCACTCTCCCAAAACTCAATTGGAGTGGATGTTCCCTGGCTGTGGTATTGCGTGAGAGGAAAAACAGCTTCCCTCTATCCACTTTATCCATCCCCTGCATAATTTTATACGTCACAATCATGTCCCCCCTCAGGCGCCTTTTCTCTAGACTGAAGAGGCCCATACACTGTAGCCTTTCCTCACAAGGGATATACCCCAATCCAGTAATCATTTTAGTTGCTGTCTTCTGCACCTTTTCCAGTTCCACTATGCCTTTTTTGAGCTGCAGCAACCAGAACTGTACACAAGGTGTACAGGTGCTGTCTTTCCAGCATTTTGTACAATGACATTATAATGTTGGCTGTTTTATTTTTCAATCCCCTTTTTAATGATACCTAGCATGGAATTGCCCTTCTTCACTGTCACCGCACACTGGGTTGACACTTTCATCGAGCTGCCCACCAGCACACCAAGATCTCTTTTCTGATCCAGCATGTACAGCTCAGAACCCATCAGCTGATAAAATTTTTTTTTGCCCCTATGTGCATTACTTTACATTTTATTATATTGAAACACATTGGCCATTTTGCTGCCGATTCTCCCAGTTTGGAGATACCCTTCTGGAGCTCTTCACAATCCCTTCTGGTCTTCACCACCCGGAAAATTTTTGTGTCATTTGCAATTTTGGCCACCTCACTGCTTATCCCTGTCTCCAGGTCATTTATGAAGAGGTTGAATAGCACTGGTCCCTGGGGCACACCGCTCTTCATCTCTCTCCATTGCGAAAACTGCCCATTGACACCCACTCTCTGTTTCCTTGTTCTCAACCAAATTTCAATCCATAAGAGGACCTGCCCTCTTATTTCCTGACTATGGAGTTTTTCCAGTTCCTTCTTTAAGGCTGTGTTATTCCCACTGTAATTCTTGCACAAGTCCTCAGTGCCATTTCCTTTCCAAGTCCCCCTGGGATTCTATCGTAGCTGTGGAAAAAAATCACTAACTTTTCTGTCAGACTGTGAGTCTGCCTCACAATATTTCATCCATCTCTCTCCCACTATCCAAACAAACCCAATTTAGAAACTCCTCCACAACTGTTTTATGATTTGATATCCTCAACAAGTACTGTGGGAGTCTATGCTGTTTCCCACATTTCAGCTGAGTTGCAATGATTTTAAGATTGCCCAAGGAACACAAGCAGAGCCCAGCATGGTCATACTTAAGAATTTATAGCCTACTGTCTTGTTTTCAACAATGGATAGAGGTAGACATTTGTGTACTCCATTTATATACAGTACTGGTATTAATTTTGACAGTGCACTGAAAAATATCTTATATTTTTAAATTGTGGTAGGAAATGCTTTTGACCTTCAGAATACCTCTTTCCCCCATATGAAATTCTGCAAATCTCTGGATTCAAGTATTAAATATTAACAAATATTTTCAAATCCAACAATTTTGAGGAATACTTGTTACTTTTAAAACAACTGTAATTACACTATGCCAAATTACGTTCTTTGCCATTTTCAAGAACTAGACGAGGCTGCAATCCAACATACTGTAGTTGGGAATAAGTTCTCCTGAATTCTTTGAGTCTTATGTCTCACATAATATTGTACTCTTAAATTGTTTACTGGTAGAACAAACAGACATAACTTCAGTTCATTGATGGAGATCAACTCCATTTGATGAGTCTACAAAAGAAGAAAAACTACTTTGGACCTCATTTTGATGCATTCATGTAATGAGGCTTGAAAAATCAAATGTTAAAAGACAGTCTTTCCTATGAAGAACGAGCAAGAGCTTCTTTCCTCTCTAATAGCAAATCTGGACGTTGACTCTGAGAACCAGAAAATCTGTAGTCAAACTAGGGAACCACAAAGGAAATGAAAATGAGAGGTATAAGCATGGTTGGGGGAACCTTGTGGTTTACAGAGATACCACACACATATAGTCTGGTGATGAAGAATCAGCATGTCATTAACCATGGAGAGTGAGGCGAGAAAGTGAAATAGAAAACCACAAATGGGGGTGGAGATCTGTATCCATGGCCCAGTTTCGGCAAGCCCACAGACTGGCACTAGGCCGCGGACTGGGGGTTGACGACCCCTGCCTTAGATAGCCAATTCAATTTAAGACAGCCACACAGGAAATAAAACATCAATGTCAACATTCACCTATTGTCAGCCCATTGCAATGCTCATGTGGATTGGCCTATTCAGCAAAGGCACTTTGTAATGTTAATTAAACATTTCCTGCTTGTACCACTTTAATTATTTTTTTAAGGTGAAGGATTGGAGATTAATGTTGAATGTGGCAAATTTGTACTTGTTTGTTTGTTTGGAAATGACAGAGGAAGGGGGGAATGTAGGAACTTCCAGAATGACGCAGTTTGTCACTTCAACCATTCTCCTTTGCTTCTTCAGGGAATAACAGACAAAATGGTGGGGGTGGGAGGGAGCAGTAGTGAATCTATTATGTGTAAGGAAAGCTGCTCAACCCTACCTTGCAGCTTCGGAATATCTCTCTAAGCATCGGAACACAGCAGCTTGACGAAGGTGGTTACGGAAATAGGCTGGATTTAGAATAATGCTCCTTCAGAAAAAGAAAGCAAAAATATGCTAGTCAAAGCCCTCAAGTGGCATATTGTTTTGAGACAATTTAACACCTAACTCTGGATAGCATGCAGATAGCGTGCATGCACACGTTTCTTCTAGCCGTTCTATAGAGATTGTATTTCTCCCAATACCCAGCAATGAATTATTGCATCTATTCTGTTGACAGCTGAGATGGACGAACAGGCATTATTAAAATGTCTGTTAAAGCTGTATCATAACTGTAATTTCATTCATAGCTTTGCCGGGTACAGAGGCAGCAGTTAAAATTCCCGTGAGCATATGTTCCCCCACGTTTACTGAGAATATAAAAATCAGCAAGACGTTATGCATTATTGTAATAATGCCTTTTGTTATCTGTCATCTGCATTTTGAGGTTGTGATAATAAGCATATATTATGCACACAAAAATTGACAGCACAAAGCAGAAACCAGAAGTGTTGTTAAAGCCAAGTTACTCCGGCTGGAAGGGTACTATAAAGCCATATACGGCTTTACTGACAAACCTTCTAATTATATTCTTGAAGGCTTTCACAACCAGGAGCTGATGGTTGTTGTGGATTTTTCAGGCGCTTTGGCCGTGTTCTGAAGGTTGTTCTTCCTAATGTTTCGCCAGTCTCTGTGGCCGGCATCTTCAGAGGACAGGAGTAGGAACTCAGAGACTGTAGGAAGAACAACCTTCAGAACACGGCCAAAGAGCCTGAAAAACCCACAACACCCTTCTAATTATAGCTTCGTAGGCATAACCTACACCTGTTTCCAGTCCCTTCTCTTTTTTTTAATTTTAATTTTTATTTTTAACAAGGGGTGACAAAAAGGGAAAAGGGAATTGAGGTTAAGAAGGAAGAGGAGAAACAATAACATACTAACATCCATTTCTATACATATTGCCATATCAAAATTCCAAATTACTCTTTTTACTATTTTCTGCCTTCCAGATTTAAGATCTCGTTTCAATGTATGCTCTTCATACGCTGTCTGTTTACTCAATCCATTTATAGAATAAGTCCCATCTTTCAGTTGCCTTTTGTAAAGGACAGTCCTTCATCACTTCTGATAAAATGTCCATTTCCGCTGTTTCCCATATCTTCTCTATGAGATCTTCTTGTTTTGGTACCGTCGGACTTTTCCAATTTTTGGCATAAAGAATTCTGGCTGCAGTGACTATGTATATAACTATATACTCCTTTGTCTTATCTATGTTATCAGGTATCATACTCAATAAAAAACCGTTCTGGGGTTAATGGCACCTTACAAAGCAATATTTGTTGCAACACAGCATGTACTCTTTTCCAATACTGTTTCGCTACTCTACATGACCACCACATGTGATAATAGCTTCCCACATGTGCTTCACATTTCCAACACACATTTGATATATCTGTATACATCTTCGACCATTTTTCTGGAGTCATATGCCACCTATAAAACATCTTGTATATATT